ATTTACCCTCCCAAATGTGCAACTTAATCGACATAATTGCCTCAATTTCTCAAATCCCTAAAACATCTTCTACTCTCAACTCTCAATTTCTCAGAATCGACCTGAAATTTCTCAAGAAAATCTTCTAATCTCAATTCCCGAAATTCCACATAATCGAAATTGCTTGAAGATGGTGAGGAAAAAAAATGATATGCTTTAAGGATAAGTCTAAAATGAAGGAGAAAGCAGAAATTATGAAGGAGAAATCAAAATTGTGAAGAAGAAATTGCAATCGGCGATGGAGACCTCTCAATCTCAACCTGTGAAGCAGAAATCGCAACCAGAGTTTGATGTAGGCAATCTCTGCTTGATCGAGAAAGTTGCTTTAGGAGTTAAAGTCCCAAACTGCGAGATGAAATTGGCGAAAAGAGCTTGATTACCTTCCCCCTCCTAGATATGGTTAGTATAATTGTTGAAATTTGGGTTTTTAAAATTAGGGTTTATAATTTTTGAAATTAGGTTTACAATTTCTGAAATTAGGTTTTTTTAGACTTTGTTTATTGCATTTCTGAAATTAAGGTTTGCATTTATGTTGCTGATCAACGGAAATTTCTATTCGGTTTGTAGGAACCCAAAGTGAGTTTTTCACAGTTGGTCTACATTATGGAGGTGAATTTGACCAAGGCCACAACTATGCGACATATTATTCACTTATTTCTGATTTTGTTGACCATACAGAGGTATGTTTTTATGATTTCAGAAAGCTTACTGAAGGAAAAGTATAAAGAAACCTTTGAGACTGTATCAAAATAAGGGACATATGTTTGTGTTAATAAGCTCTTAGCGTGATTTAGAAAAAAATTGGGAAGATAGTAAAATGTTTAGAGAAGTAAACTTGTATGTTGATGAGATGAGAGAAATGCAAAAAGAACATGAAGTGGGTGATAAATGTGAGGTTGAGGATGACATAAGTGAGGGAGGTAAGGGAGATGGTGCTGTGAGCTTGGGTGAGAGAGTCTTGGGTGAGGGAGTTAAGGGAGATGGTAATGTGAGCTTGGGTGAGGGAGTTGAGGGAGATGATGATGTGAGTTTGGGTAAGGGGGATGAGGGAGATGATGTGGTGAGCTTGGGTGAGGGGAATGAGGCAGATGGTACTGAGAGCTTGGGTGAGGGTTGTAAAGGAGACTTCTGTGATGAAGATGAGGGTCAGGGTAGTAAGGGAGAGTATCTTGAAAGTGATGAATCCAGTGATGAACTTTATGATTGGGAGTATGATATGGGGGATGACAAATTATATGATAAGTTGCTTGATGAGAATGTTGATAATGATGTTGAATGGTTAGGTGGTCAGAGTGAAAATCAACCTGAAAATGAGAATGAAATGAAAATCAATATGAAAGTGAATGGGATGAAGATGTGGTATACCAAGAGGAGTTAAATAGTGAAGATAACTCTGATGAGGACAAAGTGAGTTATAAGTATCCTGTGTTTAATCCTAATGACTTGTATGAACCAAAAATCAAGATAGGTATGATGTTTGCCACAAAATCTGAGCTTAGGACAACTATACATTCAAGTGCCATTAAGGCAAAAAGAACTGTGGTAATTAGCAAAAATGTGAAGCAACACCTTAGAGCTAAGTGTGGTGATAGTAACTGTTCATGGAAGATTAGTGCAGTTAGAGTGAAAATGAACAGTCCTTTCAGGTTAGCAAGCATAATCCTAGACACACTTGTGCAGTGACTGGAAAGGTAAAAAATTGAAATCCACTTGGTTGGCTAGAAAATATGCTGCTGTTTTTAAAGATGATCCTCAGAGGGCTGTTAAGGGATTTAGAAATCAAGCAGCAAGAGAGCTTCGGGTTCACATTTCTAAACAACAAGCATACGAACCAAAATGCATGCCATTGCTGATAAAAAAGGTGAACCTAAAGAGCAGTATGCATTGTTGTGGGATTATTGTGAGCAGATTAGAAGAACAAATCCTGGTAGTACATTTGTTGAGCAGATTAGAAGAACAAATCCTGGTAGTACAGTTGTTTTGGATACAATTTCTGAAAGTGGGAAGAGTGTGTTTAATAGATTATATATTTGCTTGAATGCATTGAAGTTGGGATTTAAGGCAGGTTGTAGGAAAGTGTTTGGTGTGGATGGTTGCCATCTGAAAGGTCCCAATAAGGGGATTTTTCTTACTGCTGTTGGGGTTGACTGTTTGTCTTATTTTTGTTGCATTTTTCCTTGTTATTTTTCCTTTATTTTCCCCCCATATTAGGTTCTTTAGTTAGTTTTTAGTTAGCTTTGTCGTTTATTGCGTGTTTCTCTCTATTTTGGTTTTTCTAGTATTTTTTCGGTCGTTTTCCGGTTGTTTGTCGTCTTTGGTGTGCAGGTTAGAGGACTCGAGAAGATTTTTTTTCACGATAAATAGACCGGGTGAATATGGTTAAAGAGATCATTTCATTAGAAGTACATAGGAAAAATCAAAATCGAATTCCGATATCATATGGGTTCAAACGGGCCCGAGACGTGAAGATTGCATGTAAGTTCACAGCTCCAGTCACCGCGCAGCGCCAGTCAACTCCCCGCGCCCGTGTCGCGCCGCGAAGCTGCCACTAGATGGACAAAGGGTAGGTTGTGTGTGCCTCGCGCCGCGGCACCTGTTACGTACTCCTCCCAGGCAGTCTCGCGAAGACCTTCGCGTCTTGAGGACTGTCCTGCCGCGCCGCGACGATGCCCCAAGCCATGAAGCTCCACCCATATTTCCTCCTGCCGTGCCGTGAGAAGCTCAACGCCGTGCTGCCCGAACCCCTCACGTCGTGCTGCCCTGCCGCGCTGCGGTGCAACCACTTGCCGCGCCCGCGAGGTCCTGCCGCGCCCACGAGGTCCTGCCACGCCGTGACTCGTGCGCTACTATAAATATAAGATCGGGAAAAGAGAATGGGATTATTATTCTCTTCATGGCAGAAACAAAAGAAACCCTACCCTTCGTTTCTTTCACTCGTTTTTCATTCTCTTCATATTTTTCGACGTAGATCAAGGATTTAACATTGGATTTTGTTCTTGCTATTGGGATTAGTTCTGTTCATCGGATTCAACCTTCAAGTTCTATTTAATCGTAAGACTTTCTATTCCTTTAACACATGAATATGTTTTTCTTGGTTTGTGAGATTGCTTGTGTTAATTCAGTTATGAGTAGCTAAATTCATATGCTAGGGAATAGGGGATTGATGTTTTGATTTCGTTTGCGATTATCATGTTCGTGATTGTTCAATTTATGTGAGTTAATCTTTTCAAAGGGTTTTTCAATTACCTGGCTTGAATATTGAGAATTGTTGAAGGGTGACACTTGAATTCCCAGTTGTTTTCAATTGAGTTCGATATATTCTTGCATGATCTTGGTTATTCTTATTGACTAGTCGTCTAATCACTCTCTAGTCTATTTTAATCAACTCTTAGAACCGAAAAGGGATGAGTCGGTCGAAACAGGCTCGCATGAACTAGGCTTGTTCGTAACTGTATTGCCTTGGCGTTAAATGAATTGTTAATTTGTCGTTCAAGCTTTTTCTCTATTACAAAGAGTTATTGAGGATGAATACTTGAACGATAGGTTATTCAAATCACTTAACCGAACAAGCACTTGCTCGATAATTGCATTTCGAATCAAAACGAATATCCCGACTCCCTAGCTTCTTAAATCATGCTCCTATGTTGCTGCTTGCTATTTTTATTGCTTTATTTTAAATCTTTGCAGTAGTTGATAATTAAAACCAAAACCATCTTTGAATTAGTATGTTTAGGAGTTTTATTTTTTTTTTGTGTGGTTGAGTAAACATACAAAATATTCCAGCTAGCCTTCCTCGAGAGATACAACCCGGTGTTTGAATCTTTAGATTCTACTTCGGAAAAATATTTACAACATTGACCCCAATAATGCACTTTTCCCATTGACTTATGCTGTTGTTAGTGTTGAAAATTTTGACAATTGGGAGTGGTTTTTTATTCTTTTGAAAAATGATTTGGAGATTGTCAATCAGCATGAATGGACAATCATTTCAGATAATCAAAAAAGATTGATACAGGCAGCACAAGCTATTTTTCCAAATTGTGATCACAGGTTCTGTGTTAGACATTTGATGGGAAATTTCAGAGATGCTGGCTTTAGGGGGATAGCATTTAAGAATGTTGTTTGGAGATATGCAACAACCACTACAGTGAATGAGTTCCACAGGAAAATGGCTGCAGTTAGACAAT